ATCACCATAAATTGGCTCGGTCCCCATAGCACAGTCGTTATGGCACCAGCCACATATACCAAGGGTGGTGGGTTCAAACCCAGCTTGGGCCAGCTAAACAACTGCAACAAAAAAATAGCCAGGTGTTATGGCGGGCACCTATAGTCCCAGCTACTTGGGAGGCTGAGGCAGGAGACTCGCTTGAGCCTGGGAGGTTGCTGTGACTGTGATGCCACAGCACGCTATTGAGGGTGATATAGTGAGACTATCTAAAAAAAAAAAAAAAAAGAAAGGAATGTCATGGGAATGCCTAAATTATCAAGTAGGAGCAGGAAAATACTTTCCCACCTGAATAAATTTAAAGGGAGTGTAATTCAAGGAGTAGAGAGACGAAGGTATGAAGGAAGAAAGCTTTTCTGATTATAATTTCTGATTCAGTTTTCCTTAGTTTAAGATACTAGTTATACTACTTTATACTCATCAAATTGGAAAACCTTAGAATATCAGGTAACCCAAAATATTAGTGAGAATGTGGGAAAATGGAGCCCCATGCTTTTCTAGGGGAATCATTTAGTCATACCCATTCTGGAGTGTAATCCAAGATCCAAGAATACTTATTTAGATACATGTACTATGTCCCCTATGACCAAACAACCCCATATTGAGTAAACCAGAGGAATATGTGCACAGGTTCCAAAGCGGACATGTACAAGGATGTTCATTGCAGCATTTTTTGGAATGACCAGCGATTGTAGGGAGGAAATAAGTGAAAGAGAGTCTAGCATCCAGCCTCTGTGTGGAAGGCACTCAGGGAGCAAAGTGATAAGACCGCTGAATCAGGCAGTCTTCAGTATCTACACATCATTTAAGTCTGGTTTACACTGAAATTCTTAAGATCATACAAGGATATCTAAAGGACCTTAGAGGATGTCTGACTTCTGGAGTCTGTGTCAGATGTAACTCGACACTGGGAGTGTCCTATGTATTTCTCCACACAGCAAACCTCTATACTATGACTTAAAAAAATTTTTAATACCAATGAGATAATCGATAACTTGGTTCTATTATACTCTTCTATGGGTTCTGTATTCTCTGCTCACTTTCTGTGGCTGTGCTGTCTATATTTTCAGAACACATTTCTACTATATATTCTGCCATTTCCCTCATAAGCATTATTTTCCTTTAGTTCTACAAATAATGTGCACTTAATTGCCATAGGCTTTAGGTTAATATGTTTTTCTTTTTGTTTGACGGAAACTCATTATGTCCTACGTTTCTCAGGAGAGATCATTGAAATATTTTCCAAATTTGTTGCATGTTCTTCAATATTCGTAATGGCCTTCTTTTCTTTCTTTTTTTGAGGCTGAGTCTCAAGCAGTGGCCCTGGGTAGGAGTGCCATGACGTCATCATAACTCATAGCAACCTCCAACTCTCGGGCTCAAGAAATTCTCTTGCTTTAGTTTTTCCATATTTAGTAGAGATGGGGTCTTGCTCTTGCTCTGGCTGGTCTCCACATGAGTTCAAGCAATCCACTCACCTAGGCCTCCCAGAGTGCTAGGATTATAGGTATGAGCCATCGCACCCAATTGGCCTTCATTCTTTTTTTTTGTTTTGATTTAGGTAAACTTCACATAATGAAAACATTAACCATTTTGAAGGGAACAGTTCAGAGGCATTTAGTACTTGTTAGGGAGACAAGGAACAGGGTGAGAGAAGGAAAAATAAAATAGAAATAAGAATAGAGAACAAATAGGTAGTTCCTGACAGAGAGAAAATTCAAAATGAATGTTCTAGTACAGCTAAAAGAGCTCTTACTGGATAACAGGACTGCCAAGATGGGCGCACACTAGACTATAAGAGCTAGGTGTCCAACCATATGAGCACCTGTGGTTTATGACAACAAGCATGTGCAATCCTAATCACGGCACCCTAAAATCAACCTTTTGCTGTAAAGTCCTTCACTGTAATATCATTTACATTCACCACCACACCCCTGCATATAATTAAAAATGGAATTGTGGGAATTATTATGGGATAGAAGCTATGTAACATAGCTAATGCATAAGTTA